GGGAGAGGGAGAGAGAGAGAATCCTAAGCAGGCTCTGCAGCGTCAGTGAAGAGCCCAATGCAGGGTTGGAACTCACAAACTGAGAAATCATGACCGGAGCCAAAATCAAGGGTTGGACGTTTAACCGATTGAGCCATCCAGGCCCCTGGATAAACAGTATAATATTGCATTTCTTTTCTCTGACTTTATTAATCTGAGTATGGAATGCAGTGAAGTGGTTGGGAGGTCTTCATCATTCTTATTTAAAATTCATTTTCCTTAAATAAGGCAGAGAAAGATAGATATCATATGCTTTCTCTTATGGGAGGATTAGGAGAAGCTTAACGGAGGACCATGGGGGAGGAGAAGGGGAAAAATAGTGGGGGAGAGGGAGAGAGGCAAATCATGAGAGACTCTTGAATACTGAGAACAAACTGAGGGATGATGGGGATGGGGGAGAGGGGAAGGGGGGTGATGGGCATGGAGGCAGGCACTTGTTGGGATAAGCCCTGGGTATTATATGGAAACCAACTTGACAATGAACTATGAAAGAAAAAAATAAGAACACACACACACACACACTTTCTTAATCTTAGCTTCACCTAATCCTAAGAGACCTAATTCCTAGCATCATTTTTAAGGTGTATGAATTTTAGCATTACATTCCATATCAGTTATCTACTATCATAATAATGCTGCTTTAAAAAAAACCCATCAGACCTCAGTGACATATCAATAACCATTTAGAATATGAGTCTGAAGGTGAGCACAATAGTCTGGATTCAAGTGGGCAGTTTTCCTGATTTGGCTGGATTCACTTGGATGGATGTGTGTTGTCTGGCTGTTGGCTGATTTGGACAGGCCTCATTTCAGAAACCTAGGACTTCCTGGCTCTGGTGCATTTGTATTTTATATTCCATTAAGTTAGTCTTGGCATATTCTCATGGTGATACCAAAGTGCAAAAATTAAGGCTGAAATGCAAAAGTGTTTTGTCAGATCTCTGATTGTGCCACCACCACTTACATCTCATTGGCCAATGCAATGAAACAGATAAACTCAAAATCAATGGATGAGAAAATATAGTTCGTCTCTCAATGGAAACTTCTATCATTAGGCAAAGGATATAAAAACAGGACCTATAATCAGGAAATCTATAGGAAGAAGCAGTTATCTTGTACTAGATGCAATACATAGGAGAAGGTCTGGCTGGGCTAGACTAGAATTAAACATGTAGCCAAACTGAATTCAGAAAAGGTTCTGTAGTAATCAGTTATACAGGCTTATTGTCTAGCTGCTACTGTTTTCCATGGATGAAATATAGTGGTGTGGTTTCATGTCTGAGCTTTTCATTAGAAAATGTAAACAAGGGGCACTTGTGGGGATGAGCACTGGGTGTTATATGGAAACCAACTTGACAATAAACTATTTGTAAAAAAAAAGTAAACATAAATTTACCATATGACTCACTAATTCCATACTTTCAGAAATTCTTTTAGAGTTTTAGAAAATATAAACTACTCTATCGTAACCGAAATTCGATTACTGGTTGCCTAGAGTGAATAGAGGCAGTATTGACTGTATAGGGGCAAAAAGGAACTTTTGGGGATGATGGAAATTTTCTCTATCTTAAATTTGGTGGTGGTTACGTGGAGGTATATGTTTTCCAAACCTCAATGAACTCTACACTTTGAATTAGTCAGTTTATCATACATAAGTTACACCTCAAAAACGGACAAAAATTTATCTCTATCTCCCTTTCTATTCTTCTTTCTCTTTGTCCTGAGAAAATAGTGAAATATAGATAAGCATTACCTCCTAACTGAAGGTAGCTTTGTGACTTAAACATCCAGGGATTGGAAACAACCCAGTCAGTCAGGAAAGTAGTCACAACAGGTCCATAGGAAGTACTCTCCAGCCCATGAAAAATTTCACCCTCATATAAAGACAAGGCTGTATGTGCATGTGTGTGTTAACAAAAACACACTATTTTCAACTTTTTTCTGATTATAATATTGCTTATTAAAAAGTCAAATAAAATACTGAAAACTATCATGGAAATATATATTGTATCATTAGAAATTTCATCACAGAGAGATGGTGACTGTTAAAATTCAGGTTTATATACTTGCAAATTTTTATTTTCCTCAAGTATATATTCACATACTGTTTAAAAATGGTTCTTCTAGGAGTGCCTGGGTGGCTCAGTTGGTTAAGTGTCCGACTTCAGCTCAGGTCATGATCTTGCGGTTCACAAGATTGAGCCCCACATCAGGCTCTGTGCTGACAGCTCAGAGTCTGGAGCTGCTTCAGATTCTGTGTCTCCCTCTGTCTCTACCCCTCTCCTGCTCGTACTCTGTCTCTCTCTCTCTCTCTCTCTCTCAAAAATAAACATTAAAGAATTTTTTAAAAATGGTTTTTCTAGAGAGGTAAACACCATTTTTAAACATATTTCCTTGTTCATATGGGTCTAAATAATCTTTAGAAATTAGTTCAAAGGAATATAACCCAATATTTAAAAATTTTAATTTCAGTTATTTTTATGATTACAAAAGTAATACATTGCACAGAAAATATTAGAAACATCTGTAAGATAAAAAAATTGAATTGTCCTGTTCTCTTACTCCATCACTGCTTCCTTTTTAAGCAGATTTGCCTATTGTCTCCCAAATATGTTTCATTTTATATTCTATGCCAGTAAGAGCACCATTTTCTTTATACATGGATATATATTTAGAAAGATGTTATAGATAGATAAGCAGATAGTGATGCCAAAATCTCTCATGTTTTGCTAAACAGTAAAATATCTTATTGTGGGTTATAAGCTTTAGAAAGGCTTCCAAGAGGCAAATATTTCATAAAAACAAGAATAAACAAGTACCTATATTGTAAGAAAGTCCAAGTTTATTTAAATACATACTAACTTTGCAACTTTCCTTCTCTCCACGAATGAACAGCCTTGCCAAGTTTAGTTTAAAAATATTTCAGGGTGTATTCAGATGACACTAAATTAAAGAGTAGTTGTAGCTATACAACTTACAACTATACTAATTTATAATATAATTTATAGCTATATATTTTAAAATTTATAACTATACAAATTTTCTCTTATGTTCTACAGCAAAGTTTCATAGTTATAAGAGGTCTTGCCATTTGGGAGTGTTATAAGTATATAGTAATTAAATGGCGAAGAGTGCCTTAAAATCATGAAATTTCCACAGATTTCTAAAGGAAAAAGGAAAATTTCAGACTTGTTTCACTTGCTCCAATTTTATAACATGTCCCCCAATACAAAAACTTATTCCCACGTGGAGGGCCATCACTCAATTCTTCCTTGAACAAATAAATAATTTAGAAAACTTTTGCATCCATAAAGAAACCTTCAGGGAACTTCCCAAAAAACAACAAAAGGTGTGTAAAACAGCATTTGTACTTGATAAAAATTGTATATACTAATTTTATTTTTATTTGGATGGATTTTAAAAATTCTGACGTGAATTCTTACCCATTCACAGACCATTTCCCCAGTAGAAGTCATACTTCTGCCTACAATGCAGCAGTAAATTTGTATTGAAAAATGCTTAAATACTCAGAAAACCAGAAAAGATTGGACTTCCACAAAGACCCCATAATTGTAATTATTTCAGTAATGGTGTATTGGATTAAAATGGTAAGACTATTTTCCGTAACTATCAACCTTGAGGTAAAGGTACTAGACAAGTAATTGTTTTATCACATATAGAGATCCCTTAATTGTGTTCAAAAACAAGGTAATGCCCATGCTTCCAGGAGGCTTTTCATTATTATCTGCACTATCTTTTGTCATTTAAAAAATCTAGAAAGCAGCAAGAAATCCATAAAAGAGAATGAATACATCTATGGTCTATTCCAAAAATAGAATAGTACACATCCATCAAATAGAATAAGTAGGATCTAGGGGCGCCTGGGTGGCTTGGTTGGTTAAGCGTCCGACTTTCGCTTAGGTCATGATCTCGTGGTTCATGGGTTCGAGCCCCGCGTCGGGCTCTGTGCTGACTGCCAGCTCAGAGCCTGGAGCCTGTTTCAGAGTCTGTGTCTCCCTCTCTCTCTGACCCTCCCCTGTTCACGCTGTCTATCTCTCTCTCCTAGAAATAAATGAAAATTAAAAAAAAAAAGGAATAAGTAGGATCTAAATGCATTACCATGGATTGGGAAAAAATAATTTATAGGCCCAAATTTCCATAATAATATAATTGTTCAGCACCCACTTTTATGAGACAAAAGACATTAATTTTTCCTATTAGATAAAACTATAAATACATGCATAAAAGGGTATGCACAAATCTAACAAAAGACTTACAAATAAAGGCAGTTGAGGACTAGAATGGATTCAAGTAGTGAATTGGGACACTATCATCATATAATATTGTAAATTTTCAGAAGTCATTTATGTTTTAACTATGCTATTAAATATTAATTCTTAAAAGAGAATAAAAATACAAATCATTGATATTAGGAATGAAACTATGCTATAATTATAGAGTCTGAAGCCACAGAGAGGATAACTTCTGTTTTTAACCCTAACAAAAAGAGATTGGAAGTCATCACTCTCATCCTTACAGTAACAAAAAACTGGACAAACTGAAAATCAGTAATTTTCCTTGACTCATTAGATAACTGGTGTCATAGGGGAAAACGCCACACTGGGAGAAAGGGACCTTCTGAGGTAAACAGCATCTAAGATATGCTTACTTGGAACAGAAGCATCTGGATTCTATAAGCAGTAAGACCACTTATTCACTAGTAAATTTAAAGAATTGCTGGAGGCTGAATGTGGACTAACATGAGAGCAAGGAAATCCTTGGGGCTGCAGTGACAGAAGGTTCCACACATTTTCATGAGCTTTTTTTTCAGGAACCCCACTAGGTTCCCTATCATGCTCTCATGTGTGGAGCCTTCAGAGAGAAGGAGCAAGTTAACAATTGTGAAAACCTCCCAGGTTTTTCTCCATAACATAAGCCTACTTTGCAGCAGAAAGACTCACCAGAATGAACTGGAAGTTTATTCCACCTGGGAAAAGGGAATTCTACTCCTTTCTAAAGCTCTCTTCAGCCTTTCTGTCTTCCTTTTTAACCTAAGGGAGAGAAAAACATAGTCAATAGAAGACAGGGCTTTATGGAAGTAGAATGGAGCTACTGAGCCAAGGAGGACAGCAGAAACAAGGGCAAAAACCAAATGAAACAAAACACAACACAAAGCAAAACAAAAAACCATATCCCTGGAGGAAACACAGAAACACATGTGAAAACCATACCGCTGAGACACAGGCCCACTAAAAGAATGAGACTTTATCAGAAGATCATAGAATGCTTCTCTTCCTCCACACCCTACTATCACAACAACACTTTTAAAAGACACAAACTCCCAAAACTCACTTAAGGAGAAATAGGTAACTCTAACAACCCTATATCTATTAAAATATTAAATTACTAATTAAAAACCTTTAAAGAAATTTTTAATGTTTATTTATTTTTGAGACAGATAGACACAGAGTGTGAGCAGGTGAGGGGCAGAGAGAGGGAGACACAGAATCTGATGTAGGCTCCAGGCTCTGAGCTGTCAGCACAGAGCTCAGTGCAGGACTCAAACTGATGAACTGTGAGATCATGACCTGAGCTGAAGTCAGATGATTAACCAACTGAGCCACCCAGGCACCCCAGAACCTTTAAAAAAGAGAAATCACCATTTTTGACTTAGATGGTTTTACTAGTAAATTCTACCAAATTATTTATTTATTTAATGTTTTTTATTATTGAGACAGAGAGAAACAGAGCATGAGTGGGGGAGGGGCAGAGAGTGAGGGAGACACAGAATCCGAAACAGGCTCCAGGATCTGAACTGTCAGCACAGAGCCCGATGCGGTGCTTGAACCCACGAACTGCGAGATCATGACCTGAGCTGAAGTCAGATGCTTAACTGACTGAGCCACCCAGGTGCCCCCCAAATATTTAAGAGAGAAATAATACTCATTTTTCACAATGAATTCCAGAAAATAGAATAGAGAACACTTTCCAACATATCTTATAAGTATCACCTTAATATGAAAAATAAATATATTTAAAGAAAAACACCATGGGGAAGAAGAAGGGGAAAAATAGTGGGGGAGGGGGAGGGAGGCAAACCATGAGAGACTCTTGAATGCAGAGAACAAACAGAGGGCTGATGGGGGAGGGGGAAAGGGGAAGGGGGTGATGGGCATGGAGGAGGGCACTTGTGGGGATGAGCACTGGATGTTCTATGGAAACCAACTTGACAATAAACTATTAAAAATTTTTAAAAATTTAAAAAAAACACAACAGACCAATATTTCATGGACTATGAACAAAAATCACCAACAACAGATTAGTAATTAAATCCAGCAAAATATCAAAAGGATAATGTGTCATAACCAAGTGGATTCATTCCAGGAATGCAAAACAGGTTTGACATTTGTAAGTCAGTCAGTGTAATGAATTAATAGATAGAGAAAAAAAGCATTATGATTATTTTAATAGATGCAGAAAAGGCATTTGACAAAACACAACACTCCAAAAACCAGGAACAGTGGAAATTTCCTCATTCTAAAAAAACACATATTTTTTAAAACTCCAGTAGTTAACATCATATTTAACAGAAAGAGACTGAAGTCTTTTCCTCAATGATTGGGAACAAGACAAGAGAGAGGGAGGGAGAGAGACAGACAGACAGACAGAATTGGAAGCAGGATCCAGGCTCTGAGCTATCAACTCAGAGCTATCCTTGTGTTAATTTTCTAAAATTGTGATTCCCAAGTAATTTGTCTATTTCATATTACCAAATTTATTGGCATAAAATTGTTCATATGTTCTTTTTTCATTTGAGTGTTTAAAGAATCTGTAGAAATATCCCCTCTTTCATTCCTGATATTGGTAATGAGTATTTTCTGTCTTCCTTAATTATTCAAGCAGGGCTTAATGAATTTTATTTATTTTCACAGCAAAACAAATAATGTTAGCTTATCAAAAAACTGATAATATGCTTATTAGCTATATAATTTCTTTCTTTACAGTAACTCTGGTATAAATTTGCTCTTTTTCATATAGCTTCTTAATGTACACAATTAGATTATTGATTTTAAACCTGCCATTACTTTATTTTATTTTATTTATTTTTATTTATTATTTTTTACAAATAGTTTATTGTCAAATTAGTTTCCACATAACACTCAGTGCTCATCCCCACAAGTGTCCTCCTCCATGCCCATCCCTCCTCCCCCCCACACCCATCAGTCCTCAGTTTTTGTCAGCATTCAAGAGTCTCTCATGGTTTGCTTCTCTCCCTTTCCCCCACCATTTCCCCCCTTATTCTCCCCCTTGTTCCTCTGTCATGCCATTACTTTATTTTAAAAGAATGTTCATGACTATTCTCACAATATGGTATACTATATACTTTCATCAACTATGGTGTTACTATTAATATTATCTTTTTCAAAAGATAAGAAAGCTAAATTCATAGAGGTTAAAGATTATACTAAGTTATATAATTTATAAGTTGCAATTCTGAGACTGAAATCCACATATGCCTTTTTTTTCCCGATGGAAACCTTAAACATGCAACCATTCCATCAAATTGTTCTCTTGACAAACTATAGAGGCTCAATAGTGATCCTTAATATTTATCTTATATTTATCCCCACTAAGAACCTGACAATGGCCTTCATTAATTTTGTTTCCAGGTTTAATTCTGATCCATTGTGCCATCTGGGAAATAGGATGGCTTCTTCCTGTAGTAGGAATGAACACCGAGGGTGCTTCCACTTTGCTTTTTAATCTAAGAAAGCTGTGCCATAGTATAGCTCTTTCTAACATAAATAATCCAATATTACAGAGACTGTGTTTTACTTTACCCAGTAATGGTAGGTTTATCAGGTCCTCACCAGCCTCACATACATTTTATGTTTTGAGTCACTGCTTATCACCATTCTATGATAATGATCTCTGAGCATCCCTATCCACTGGCAGTATTAGGATTTCCTTTGCTTTAGGAGCATACTTTCTGAACTGTGATAGCTTCATACTGTGTCTCGATGGTCACTAGGGCACAGGGCACTTTGTCAAAAATGGATTTATCTTTCCAAGAATCATTTTTATCTTTGCTGCCATCCTCATGTACATTGTTCCAAAGATTGCCTTTGGAAACGGCTACAAACTATTGACTTTGAAAACAGCTCAGTATGTTGTTTACCTTTCTTTATACTTTCCAATATTATACCTATGTGACCAGGATTTCCTGGGCACTCCATCTACAGGGACATTCCTGGATTCATTGGAGCCCTAGGTATTGTTGTTACCAGAAAATCTTCACTTGCCACTTGGAGGATATTTATCATAATAGAAACTCACTTCCATGTATTACTCAGATACAGCCTCTTCATTAAAATCACATCTATCATCTAATATTTTTCTACCACTTCATTCATATATTCATACATTTTCAGCATCATGAGGAATAATAGTGGTATTTTAAGCCCATGAATCTAGGATAAACCTTATATGTCTATGAAAGAAGAGGATAATCTTTCAATCGATGTGACAAATTTTTATACTGACAGCATGTAGTGTATTATGTCTGGAAATGAGATATACGGAGCAGAGGTATGGACTGCGACAAAGTGATTAATATCAGGATATAATAGTAGGGATTTTAGGTGACTCACCATCCAGTTTGTGGCTTTGTTTGGAAGTGGGGGGAGGCAGCCTGAGCTTTCTGGCATATGATGGAGACCTGAGGCATTTACTGAAGATAATCAATCTCAGATCTGTTTGCATTTTCCCCATTTTTGAGACTTATTTTCCTTATCTGCCAAACTCTAGAGTCAACCAAGTGATGGGTGTATATTTGGGGGTTATGTCGTTTTGAGACTGCTACTTAAGGTAGAATCAGCTATGTTAGTCTCTAAGGAAGTTATAAGACTGGAATACCTGTGGTTTGTGTTTTTGAAAGGAAACCAAATCTGCTTCCCACCTATACTATCTATCTACCTAAGCCATTATCTGAAGTTTTCCCCTCAATACTACACTTTGGTGAGCTTCCTGTCTTTAATAATGTCTATTCAATCTTTATATTGGAAGGTATAAGTGGCTGAAGTATGGACCATGGCTCTTACTGTGAGAATCAATTTTCACATTTTGATGACCATAGAAAGCTGTCAACAGTTCAAACATTATGGTGACCTTCAGGTTTCTATGACAATTGGGATACACACAATTTTATCATGGAGTTGAACCATTTAGAAAAGATGCTTACTAGAAGGAAATGTCTATTAAACTTTAAGGTCTGCCATAGTAAATGTTCTGGGTCCCAGAAGAGACTGCTTCTGGTAAGGGAATCAAGTTGGGTTCTACTGAACTTGAAGCTACAACTACCACCTGGTCACTTTAGTCTCCTCATGGTAGCGGGTCAGTAGGCAAAGAAAGAAATTTATATAGTAGTGGGGCAAGTTGACTCTGATTACCATGCAGAGATATGAGTTGTTGCTACATAAATGGGATAATGAAGAGTATGTCTGAACCCAGAGGATTCATTTAGTGCTTCTTGCTTGGTAATAATGGTAAATGGAATTGGTATAATAGGTGTTGATTTCTTCATAATTTTAAGAATTGTTTACACTTCAGATCTTGGCTAAGTGGGGCTGAATGCAACAAAAAGCCTTGGACTGTTGACTCAGAAATCATTCTAGGAAGCCTGCCTTCGTGCTTAGCCTGGTCCTTTAAAAGAGGATCTTTCTTTATTAATTCTTTGGAGGCTTGAAGTAAATTTAGCACTATTCATTAAGCACTGTCCAGCTCTTCAACTGTCTGTTCTGACTTCATCTATTTCAACTGTATTTTTTTTCTAAATAGCTTTAATAATGTTAAAACATCCAAATTCTCATTTCTTTCTCTTGTGGTAGGTTTTTACAATTGCTAAGATCTGAGCTATACAATTTTTTATGAACCTGTCCCTACTGGCACAAGCTGACTCCAAGAGGAATTCAAGGAACAATTCACCCTATGCATCAGAGTGCCTCCATATTAGAACACTTTAGTTTTGCTGGCTTTGAATTAAAAGAGTTAA